TCAGAGATTTGACTAAGTCCTACTTGCGTTCCTAATGAGTGATCAATAGATCGCAAGCTGGCTACTTGATTGAGCGGGTCCTCTGTATGAGAGGTCCGCTCCGATACCAAACTGATGCATACTGTAACGTGCAGACCAGAACAAGAACCGACCTTTCAATACAAAGTATAAGATAGCACAACGGAAGACTTAGATACCGGTGATCCGAACAATCAATGTTGAAATGCAGCCCTGAACATACATCATCATCATCGTTACATGGTGTGAAATGGGCCTGGCGCTTCACACAGGAAGACTGCGCCAGCCCATACCATACACAGACGAAGAGGAAGGGGGTAGATGAAGAGGAGGGGGAAGATGGGAATGTCGACAACACCAAGTCTTCGGCACAAGCCCAAATAGTCCCTCGTCGAAATGTCTGAATCCCAAATGTCAAGTCTGGATCCAATGTCGTCAAGTCTCAAGTCACAACTCGGTCTCTCTCTCTGTCGTAGTCTGAGAAGTCAGGTGGCGAGAGGGTGAGAAGAGAAGGTGGACTTGGAAGAGGAGGAAGAAGAACTCTCTCTCTCTCTGTGTCCAGTACTAACCTGTGAAGTTGGCGCCTTGATGCAGGTACCACGAAGATGGAGCTGGAGCGATGGCGCCACAGGTAAGTAACACTGGCCTCCGCCAGTCTCTCTCCCACTCCACGATCTACCACCTACCAGCGCCCAGCGCTGAAGACTACAGCTACAGCTATGGCGCCCAGCGCCGAAGACTACTACTAGCGCTACTACTACTAGCGCTGAAGACCACTGCCGCGCTCCTCCTGAGTGCTGCGGCCGAGATCCTGAAGACTACCCTTGCCGACTGACCACTACCTACTGACACTACCTACCTGTGAAGTGCATGGGAACTTCCTATGTACTACGGGTGTGCCTCCTGAGCCTGCCGAAGGGAGGCAGGGGCTGCAGCTGCAGCTCCTGCTCAAACTCGTGAGGAACAGGCTATTTCTGGCCTGTTYYGCATCCCTGTTTMCRTGCCWRAGTCTTAGGGGCAGGTCGAAACAATGAGGGCCTGAAAATGGCCCTCCGTTTCAGGCTGAAAACTCTGGGTCTGAAAAGACCCAGAAATAGGCTGAAACGGGGTAGGGCCTGCAGGCCCTCGTTTTTCAGCATCCAGGCTGAAACGAACGGGGCCTGTAAGCCCTAAGTTTTAGGCTTTCAGGCTGAATGTCCGGGACGGGCCCTGGAGGGCCCGTGTGGCTACGCAGTATGCCACACAAGAACTTATAGCAGCAATTAATTCTCTTATCGAAAAAAAGCTTTAAAATAGTCAATTTAGATGATATTGACCACCTAAAGAACCGTCGTGTACACTTGATTGCMGATATGCTACAAAGCCAAGTAAGAATTGCACTTAATCGACTAAAACGAATGATAGCTGAAGTAATGCGGGGAATAAATAAAAGAAAAAATCTACCATCTGTGCAAAACTTCGATAAAAAACCTACTCGCCAATAATACAGAGCCAGTGTCTGTAATTTCAATCGCCATAACACTACCACCATGGGTGAATAGGTCATAGCAGGGAAGTGCAAAATCACACAGCGGCAAAAAGAAAGAAGACACACAGGAACACGGAAACCAAAGGAATCAAAGGAGGCAGAAACACCATCATGCTCACATGAAACGACACAGCACCGAACGGAAACAGAAACTAATGCGAAAAGGAGGCCCATCCAATAAAAAACAATCAGGAACCGAAGCACCAATCACGAACAGGTGGCTTCTTTCCTGCAGAACTGAACCTTCCAAGCTTGCCAACCTTAACTCTCTGCGCATCCGCGTGACCGTGTTAGTCTTAGATCGACACGCAGTCCCTCCAGCTGTCCTGGGCTGCTCCCCTCAAAGCAGAGGGAGCAGGAAAGCCCCAGAAGAGTTTGTATCAAGGACCGAGGGACAACACCCTGATCAGTTCCATGAAGGTTTGTAGCAGCGTGCAGATTATGGCCCTCAGCTGCCCCCACTTCATGGCGGCAAGGGATTCCTAACTGAAATTACTCGGAACTAGAAATGACCAAGAGTCGATTACAACTCTTGCGGTGCACCCTCCTAAACACCCGCGTGTTCTTACCCTGCGCCACCATAGCCACCCTGACATCAAGTTCTGGCATACAAGCAACCGGTTCCGCCAATGTTGTCAATGCAATCCACCCCACACCCAAATGTCGCCGCCGGGGCGGCCTTAGCGCCGGGATTTTCTGCTTGCTGTGGCTTCAATCAGGAATTATCTTCCAATAGATTGATGCCAATTGGAGTATGTATTGTATTTGTATTGTATATTGAATACATTGTCACGGGTCTCACTTCGCTCACAAACTCAAGGGTGAATTCAGCCTTTAGCCCTTTCTGTGTGAGGATCTGGGTCCTCGGCAGGCCTACGGGGCCCTGTTGCAAATGTGTCCGCCCTAAGTGAAGGAGGGCCTAACAAACATGAGAGGCCCTCAGCAGTCAATTTTGTATTTGGGGTCCAGGCAGTTGTGACGCGTCAGTTGGTTGAGGGAAACACAGGCCGAGCAGCAAAGACATTCCACGGCCTTCCAGGCCTTTCCGAAAATGCAGGCCCTGGGCGAGAATTGCAGCCTCATACACAGACAGTTGGGAGGCCCAACTGAACAAGGCCCAGTGGCTGCAACAGAGGCACGGCCTCCCGGGGCCTACCGGAAGCTTCTGGGCCGAGGCCCAGGCCAGCCAGGCCGTGAAGGCAGGCCGGCTCTTTCCATTTAGGGAAAAGCTCGCGGCCTGGAGAGGCATTCAACACTTGCATGCTGGCGGCAGCGCTGTTGGAGCGGACACTCGTAGGCTGCTGCTGGCGCTGAGAGGCAAGGTGCTAGCGCGTGCGGTCGTGCAGGAAGCAGGGCACTGCTGAGGGCAGCGCCATAGCCCAGCTTCCATAGCTGGATGGGCTTGGACTAGAGTGAGGCGCAGGGGTGGTCTTCGGGTGTACAGAGAGAAGACGTGGGAGTAAGTCAGGGGAGAGAGAGAAGGATGATGATGATGACGTGAGGGCACATACCTGGTATTGGCGATGGTTTGCATTGGGCAACATCTTCAAGTACTTCGTGGGCTGCTGACGTCAACTGTTGCATTGCCAATTAGTAGGCAGACTGTAGCTGTGTAGAAAGTCGGCTGGGCGCTGAGCGCCAAGTAGGGAGATAGGGCCTTGACACTCATGTTGGTGGTGGCGAGAGCAAGCTCTCATTGACATTGTTTTTCAGTGTTACGATTCTTCGTTGGTGTTATATTGGTGCATTTCTGCTTTCTGGACACTGTGATACTATCTGGCCTTCAATGTGATTGTGCATTCTGGATATTGTCATCTCGCTATTGCTCATTTTCCTCGGAATTTGGTATCGGAGCTGGTTCGGACTGCGTTTCATTGATTCTTCGCAATAGCTGTTTGGTGCTTCGCATGAGCTGTGGGGCAGTGATAAGGCTTGGGCGTTGAATGTTGGGCGGCCCAGGGTTGTATGGGCGCGCCAGGAAGCTATGTGGTGACATCAAGGGTGTACGCTGGGTGATGAGAGCTCGCTGATGTGGCATTTAAGCCGAGGCGGGACTACATTCTGCTGTTGGTTGTGGCGAGGCAAAGACCGGTCATCATCAATGCCCATCAGGTTGCCGGTGAGAAATCTGTGGTTGGGGGCAGCATTATGAGGTACGTTGCTCTCTTCCTTATCTACCCTCTTCATTACTTCTTACCATGAGGAAGTGAGTTCTGTCTTGAGAGTCCTCTCAATGTGAGGTGTCGCGAGCACCCAACCTTGACAGTCGACATTCTTCCTAGGCAGCAAGCTAGTGGGAGACGGGCGAAGCCTCTGAAGGGCCCTGGATGAAGCACTCGGGTCATGATCGCCATGCCAACCCACTGGGACTAGTACACGCATGCTTTGCCGCAAGTCCTTGGTTCTGCTGCTGCGCGATAGAGGTCATGCAGGGCATGCCAGCCCTTTGAACAGATGCT